TATTCAGGAAGTGGTGGACCATATGGAGAGTCATATACTACTGGTGATATAATTGGATGCTATCTAAATTTTAGAAAAAAGATAGTATTTTATACTAAAAATGGAATTAACTTAGGTAACCACATTTAGAATTAAGTGATAGTTCGCAGCTAAAGGGTATAAATTTCATAGTAAAAATCGGCAGGTATTACAGTCAAACCCCTCTATAGTCACACCTTTGGGATATAAATACAGTCAAACCCCTCTATAGTCACACCTTTGGGATATAATATAGAGGTATTTTCTATAGAATTATAAATAATTGGTAACAATAAATTTGTAATTATATTAATTTTGTGACTATAGAGGAGGTGACTATAGAGGGGTTTGACTGTACTTATAAATTTTAATAGTGGCTGGAATCCCAAAAATTTTTCACTAGGGGTACTATGAAAACTATTTTTTTTATTAAGTAAACTTTCTTTGACCTTCTAATTAAAGTTGTAGAGGAGGTCTTTGCAGTTCTAATGATGGTAGAATTGTTAAAATTGACCTAGTACATCACGAGATATTAACGATTTACGTTTCACGATCATATGAAATTTTCTTTGCCGATTTACAAAGAAAATTTATATGATCGTGAAAAGTAAATCGTTAATATCTCGTGGTGTACTGGGTCAATGTTAGTAGTGATACAAATCGAAAATCGAATTAATCGATTAGTTGTAAAGTTGACAACTAATCGATTTGAATTTTACAGACCCAACTTAGTCGATTAATCGATTAGTCGACTAATCGATTAATCGATTGGCCAACTAATCGATTAATCGATTAGTCGATTGATCAATTAATTGACTAGTCGTATCAACCGATCATATAAGAATATCAACCCGCTGTTTCAGTTGCTACCTTACGTGTATTTTACCAAGTTTCGTTTATTATTTATTCAACTAATCGATTAGTTGGCCAATTGATTAGTCAACTAATCGATTAATCGATTAGTCGATTAATTGATTAATCGATTGGCTAACTAATCGATTAGTTGAATAAAAACCGATTAATCGATTAGTTGGATAAAATGATCTATTAATCGAAAAATTTTTATCGATTTGTATCACTAAGGACGATCCATCAGGAATTGTATTTTTGCGTAATTTGGTTCTCATGATTGGTAGGGAGTCATCGTCTGAGTTTTAATTGTGAATATTTCGTAACATATGAAAAAAATAGACAGAAATACATTTATGATCATAAGAGTTTTGTCAAATAACATAATTTATTTTAGTCAAAAGTTTATATCGTAATTCCAATAAAACATTTGCCGGAACAATGGTGTCAAGTATAAAGTGATGGGTGTTGATTCCAGTGTTAAAAATTTCGCACAAATATGCAGTACAAAAAAATTTTTTTATAAAGGAACGTTATTTTATTTTCTGTGCATATTGCACCGTAATTGTTAATTTTTGTGCAGATAACAATACATGCTATTTTATTGTAGCATATGACTTAGTACGTATCGATATCAAAATTTAATCATCATCACTCCGTTCCTGAATTGATTCTTTGTCAGTGTAGATACAATACAAAAAAGGCGAACTTACACCTTTTAACTAAATCAATAAAGTAACCACCTCTAACGTGTCTAACGTGTCTAACGTGTCTAAATCTTTTAAATATCATAATTTGAGTCATTTTTAACGGTAGTAAAAAATTATCAAAAGAAAAATTAACCAATCCAACACCAGAAAAAAGACCTTTATCGCTGTAGGCAAAAAATTTTCCAGAATAATGGAGGGTAAGCTTATAGACTTTATGATATTTTCGTCGTCTTTGGGATTTAAAGTTTTACCCTTTTCAATAGGGATTACATTAGACGCTGACTACTTCACCCTTGACTACGACTGGGCACTGTTAAGCTTACTACTCTATCGACAACAATGTGATAATTTCACTGCTGATAAATGCAATGAACATAAACGATACATTTACAATCTCTCGGCCATAATTAATAGTGAAGATTTACCTGAGACTGTAATAGAACGAGCTAGCAAGTCACTTACCTCAATGCGAGTTAAGTTTTTTCTCTTCCTTTATTATTAGTAACGGATGGACGGGTCTGAAGAGTAGTAACTTTTTCGGATGGGGTTTAGTCCTGTATTCAATCACCCAACTCCCCTGATTTCGTTCGGGGGTGCATGAGTTTTGCCTCGGGTGATTCTGTCCAGCCAAAAGATAGAATGATGTTTCATGCTGCCCAACATCCCCTGATTTCGTTCAGGGTGTGTATGAGTTTCGTCTCGGGCAGTTCCGTATAATTATTTTTCTTGGTTGGAATGAACGGGTCTGAAAAGCAATAGTTTTTCAGATGGGGTTTTGTCCTATCAATCACCCGACACTCCTGATTTTGCTCGGGAGTGTGTAAGTATTGTCTTGGGGGTTCCGTTCTTGCAACCAGAATGTATGAACTACGACTCATTGTTTAAAACTTTCCCTTTGGCTTTTACTAATCATTCTTTCATCAGTAGAAAGAAAACGGAAAATCTGAGCGATCAGCCTTGGTTGTATGTACATGATCTGCCAAGATAATGTGATGGAAACGCTAATGTATTTACTGCTCTTCTGCTATTATAGGAGGAACTCACTACTTTTGCTGTACTCTCGACACTCCAACAAGATAAGCAGGAACACCTGGTGAGAGAGAATGTGACGAGATGATTAGAGAGTTTAGATAACCAACATAAGTTAAAACGTCTACGAAAACAAGCAAATGAAGACGAAACCGACCACCAGATACAGTGAGCGATCAAACTTCAGATACAGTGAGCGATGATAGTGATTCATGAACTCCAACCAGTCCTATACCTTTTCAATCATCAACTTCACGATCATTTTACTCTTCAAGACCTCGCCTTATTCTTAAAAGTGGAACGATTATAAAAAACGTCTTAGATAGTGTATCTCATAATGGCTTCTGGAATGGAAACCACCTTATCCTCGATAGAGATGATGCTTGGCTTTTAGATGGTCATATGGAAGTGGAAGACTTAGTAGAAATCTGTTATTCTTACGGTGCTGTAGAAGTGGCGATGGAATTAAAAAATATGTTTAAAGAACTAACAAACGCTCAGACAGTACGATCGTTTAGAGAAATGCAATTATCCATGCAATGGCAATTAAATCTTGATGATGAGCTCTTTCATCTTAAGAAGTGGATCCTTTTAACTATTGATAACTGGTAAGTAAACTTTTCAAAATTGTTGGATATGACTATTGGTTATTACTAGATTAATAATTTACTATATCCTATATTAGACTAGATTATATAGAGTTATCTTCAAAGAATCCTTTAACTAAAACGAATAGCAAAAATCATAAATCAGCATCTATTTATTATTCTCTCATAGACTGTTTGGCCATTCAATATTTTCGCACTCTTAGAGCCGTCTCACCATATAAGAGTAGAGTTCATCATCTGTGTTACAAATTGATGCAAAATTATGCGGCAAACAACCGGATATTTACTTTTGGGATGACATTCTTAAGATTGAACCCGGTGAATTAAAGTGGTTGAAATTAATTAGCTGATGTTGATTAGTTTAACTTTCATAATGATTTCTGGATTTATTAATAGGGAATATAGAGATCGCAAAGGATAGTATAATACAAGATGCAGATAAATACGATCTTGACACAAATAAGAGCCTTCGGGAAAACATATTTGAAATCCAATATACATATGATAATCTACCAACTTCAAAAAAAGAGAAAATTTTCGAAATGAATTTTATAGCCTTCGTGATTTCTGGTATCTCACAAATTTATATTGAATGAAAAATGTATAAATAATTTAGATGCTAAAAATCCATTTCTATGTGCTCAGACAATCATATAGATTCGTATACTACTAGATTGGTTGACAATGTAACCGTCAATATTAATGTGTGCGATTTTGACTTTTTTAAATTACTGAAATTTCCTCCAGATTACAGTATGATATACCCCACAGAATTTGCTACAAACGAGCTGATTAGTTGTATGAATAAAGTATTAAAAATAATTGTAAGTAAATCTTTTTAATACATCTATTACTTGTTATATTGCAATTTACTTATATACTTTAACAATATAGTTGCTAATGAATAAAACCGTGGAAATTATGCGTAAAGCCAAGATGGATGTTTCAGACTCATTAAGTGATTCACCAAGGTTTAAATATTTTTCTGATCCTCGTATTTTACCTCCCACATTCTCCAAAAGTATTACCAGAAAGTAGAGATGGTTAGGTAGGTTCCATTTTGAAAACCTAAGAACCTGGTTCTGGAATCTGGTTCAGAACCTGGTTCAAGAACCTGGTTCTGGAACCAGTTTTCAGAACTGGTTCTAGACCTGATTTCAGAACTTAGTTTTAGAACCTGGTTTCAGAACCTGTTCCATCTATATTCTTTTA